GGCACACATATCCACCGCACACAAACTACACTACAGAACTGCATTTTGCCAGCGCAACGACCCATTGTGCTGCCTCGGATTCGCACTGCAACATGAGTTATGGACATGGACGTTGTGGCCCCATTCATTTCGAGCACTTCGAGGGCACATATACACTACGTTAAAGAACTACCACTGGCCAGCTGAACGCGCCTTTGTACTGCCACAGATTCACTCTACAGCCTGAGGTATTGACATGGATGTTGTGGCCCCTTAGAGCCATCCATTTTGAGCACTTCCAGGGAACACATACCATTCACACATATACTACATTAAAGAACTACGTCTGGCCAGTTGAATGAGCCATTGCGGTGCCTCAGATTCAGTCTACAGCCTGAGTTATGGACATGGACGTTCATTCCTATCGTATGCACTTTCATTCTACGGTATTCCTTGTCACCATCCGATTATATATTACTAGTACCCCGGAATACGTTCAGCTGTAGTGTCGTACCAACAATTCAGATGTAATACAATTCCCTTTTTAAGTACCTTGATGCGCATCCACCTCACTCGAGACTCTACCTCAACACATGAGTTGACAGGTGGCGTCTGTTCTGTAGTTTTCAGCAAAATTTATGTGGCAGGAATGTGAACTCGTCAATGTGCACCAAGATCTCCAGGCTTCTCTTGAGGTTGTGGACGAATAGCGTGTCCGTTATCACCGCCTTTACATCTTCACGTCGTATTTGCTTCGACGGCGTGCCAGATACAAATCCACGTGATGTCACAATGTCATGCAAGATGTCTTCTGATTCCAGAAGAGTTGAAAACCAGGCCTGAAGTGTCCCTCACTTTGTTGGCTGGCAAGGCCAAGGCTCGCTTCTTCCTCTCCATCTGGACTGAGCGAAGCGTTGACGCGGCTTTTGATTCTTGTGGAAGAACTTGACAACATCTTTGCACGCTTCTGCAAACAGATGAAGGTCTTGAAAGGCGTAGTCATCGGGAAAGAGCTCGTCGCCGACATCTCCACGCTGAGTCTTGGATGGATAGAAGATGTCCTTGACCAAAAGGTGCAAGCCATGGCAGCGCAACCGTGGAAAAACATTGAAGGGTATGACTTCTCCAATTCTGCCCAGGCGGCCTTATTAGCTGAGGTGTTGTCAGTACATACGCCGCAAGCATGTGCTTTAATTGATCCAATGACGCGCTTGATGTCTTCCGCAATCCATGGTCCAGTGTGGCTGGCCCAGCCGTCTGTATTGCTTCCAGAGAGTCTGAAAACTTCGGGCCACAAGCCATGTAGTTCACCACCGCTTCGTTGTTGACCACGGTCCAAGCGACAGTCGTAAGGCACACCATCGTAGAGTCCAAACCGAGCGTGGCGTCAACTCGTGCCTTCAACTTGGTAGAGCATGCGTCGAGATACTTGTCAGACAGCTATCGTCGGTTCGGGATCTTGGCGTTGGGATGAGCACGGCGAAATGCTCGGGCCAGGTGGGATTCTTTAGCCCGCTGGAATGCAGAGCCGGTGACATAGTAGTGCATTGCAACATCCATGAAGATGGCTTCAACATCAACAGAGATCATAGCAGGCATAAGGAACTCCTTTTCACTGGTTTGCCGCATGGTTGGAGTTGAACCTTGCTTGCACACCTTGACTTCCAGCTTGGACCGCTTCACGCCTTCAAACCAGTCAGGGTGTTCTTCAAATTCAAGCTTTGTCATTGTGGCACGAAACACCTAGCATCGGTTGAGGTGTGCCTTGTCTTGAGCGCTCTTATAGTGGTGCCCGACTGTCAATATACAATGCTTACATACCGCTGACACATGCTTGTGGGCATTGGGGTCATCGGTAAAGAAACCCCACACGTCGGAGAGTTGACGGCCACGCTTATCGGCTGACAGAAAATGCTTGACGGCGGCAACCATGCCGACGGTAGTGGTTGCTAGAGATGCACCACTTGGACTTGATGCACTCAAGTTCATGTCTTGAAGTGAAGCAAAAAAATATTATGAGGACTGATAATTGAATTTCGCAATTTATCTTAGAATTTATTTTTGTTCCGTTTACGAATAAACTGGCGTCAGTAAATCTTAGGCATATCCTGATTATGTCGGTGTGATTTTTAAACGTAAAAACGGTAATCGGTTACTACTTCGTAATTTCAGATGATACAACAACTAGTACTACCTGCGGTCCCACTGTTGGTTCAACTGCAACGTCCGATGAAACCCCGCGTGAGGTCGAAACACTGCCCCAGTCGTATGCTCGAGATTTCAAGCTTGCCAAGGCTCAGCTCGAACTGGAACTGACCAAATCCAAGCTCAAGTTGGCGCAAGCCTATGCGAAGCACGACCAAGAGCGCCAAGCGAAGTCTGTGAAGCTGTTGGGTCATAATGAAGTGCGCCAACCTATGCGACGACACAAAGTACCCAAGCCAAGATTTGCTTCCGGGAGCTCCAGAAGATTAAAAAAATGCTTGATATGCGTCGTCGCGGATTAGTGCATGTACAAGCTCTCGTGACGATGCCTCATTGGAAAATGCCAATTGCGCTACCTAGTGATGACCTCGAATGTGATTCGGAATGAGCACAATTAAAATACAGAAAAATACAATTCCGCGTTTCGAAACTTAATAGGCTTTTTTGTATTAAACAAAAATGCCTAATTAAGAAAACCTTCGTGCCATCCCTGATTGGCAATGGTTTGGCGATTCTCCGAAGGTTTTCCTACGGCTCAAACGATATGCAATGACATAGCAAGTCGCAAAAGTGGACGTGTTGGACGGAAACAAAGTACACGGACTTGACCTTGACCTAGTGATGTGTGACCTAGCGGCCCAGACGACAGAATATTTGGAGATGAGCGAAATGTTCAGTGCATTGGAATCCCTTTCCATCGAGGGATAAAGTATTGCCAACTTCTTTCTCATCTTACTTGGACATCGATTTCAGGCGTAACGTTACTGTGAATTCAACTATTCGAATGGGTACTTAGCACCTCAACCTCCAATCAGCGATTGTCAAAAATATATTGTTAAAACAATTATTTAAATATATTCCAATAAGTATTTTATTATATTGTTCCTGAACAATAAAAATATTTATTGGAAGGGCGAAATATATTGCAATAGTTATTGCTTTCCACAGAATTGTTACAGTTGTTTTATTGGACCCCAAGTAATATTGCCATAGTTATTGGTTTCCAGAGAATTATTGCTGTTATTTTATTGGGCACCATGAAATATTGCAATAATATTGGTTTTCCGAATCCAATAACCCATATATTGTCACCCTATGACTGGTCAAATTTTTGGCTGGCTCACATGTTCCCATCTTTTCTCGCATTGGGAACTCGAAACAGCTCGCAACATCCACGCAGCACCAAGACCAAATGACCGGAACACGTCAGCAAGTACTTCGACACCTGCCCGCGCGTGAGTTATGGACCACGAACGAAATCGTGGACGTTTTCTTCAGCCCCCCCGATCGTAGACCCGTTTCCGGGGCCATGTCATTCAAGTGCCGCTTTAAGAACGGCAGGTAGACATAGCATTAAGCAAACATCAATCGGATTTGAACCGATACCTCTGACTGATGTCAGCGCTCAACCATAGAGCTTTGATGTTGGCGTTGGAGGTGTAAGGCCAATTGGATATTGAGCTGTAACATTTGTGTTTGCAAATCGAGAACAAATATTTCACACTTGCGGAATCAGGATGAGATTATCGAAATGATTGAGTAAACTAATGATTGAGTAAACTAATGATTGAGTAATCGAATACGCACCTACTAATATATAGACTACTGTAATGTGTTGTCCATACCCACCCATGCCTTCGCCTCATGGCCAAAGTACCTTCACGCTAGGACTCCAAAAATGAGGTCCCTGGGCTCTGGATCGATCTGTGAGCCGAGAAAACGCGATTTTAGTGTTTTGGCTCTCGATTCTCGAAACTCTGACTGGAAATTATTAATCATTTGTGCATACGAACATCAAATCCAATTGTTTGCCAAAGTGTTTGCACGTTTTAACCAATGTCAGAGTTGGTGTAGAATGAAATGATCAGACCCACCCCTCTAGAAATCGTGGATACGTGTAAATTTGAAGTGGTATTGCGCCGATTTTGCGTGCAGCAAAAATAAATCCACCGAGTCGAATCTTAGGTATACCTGAGCGCATGCCTTGTGCACACAGAATATCAGTGGAAAAATGTGATAGATATTGCTATAGGATGCACAGATATTCAGCGATTTCATTTCCAAAATTGGGTTACAGCCTCGAGATTGATTGCAGATACCGTCCTCGTAATATAAAGGACCCGAGGTCGACTCTGGCATCGATTAGTGCAAGACAGAATGGCTATCTCCACAAGAAACGACGAAGTAGGCAAAGAAAGCCGAAGCGAAGGTGTCCATAAAGAAGTGCTTTCAAGTCAAGGCAACAAACACTCTGGAGGCTGCGGGAAATGACGAACATAGCCATCGTTGGTGACATGAGCGAGGATAAACGTATGTCTAGACGAAGGAGTCCAGTTTTGGTGCAAGGCGACTTTGTATTCGATTCCGCTGTTCAAAACGTATACATATGGACTTCAAATTTTGGCTGCCAGTTACGATGCTTTTTGGAAAAGTATCCACTATATTCCACGAGAATACCGTTACGTACTTTTAATATAAATAAGTATGTCATAATTTAAAAAGATAACATCGAAATATAGCATCAAGTTAACATATACCTGGAGGCTGCGGGAATTGATCTACTTTGTTCTTACAATACATCGTCGCCATTATACATTTCAGCATACTGTCAATTCAGTTAAAAAAAGAATGCATATCCGTTGAATATAGCTAAATCGCGAAAATCTGAGCTACTGCTGCTTGGCCGTTGCTAATTTGTGCTTTGAACTCGAACACAAGCATTTGTTTCGGCACTACACCGTCCATTGCAACCGTAAACTGTGATTTGTGTAGAACGGAGGGTCGTGGCAAATCAATGACTTGAGTGCTGATTGGAGCGGCGCCAAAATTGCCCAGTTGCTCATCAATTGCCGCAGCAAAAGCGTGTGCCCTCGCCCACATTTTGGTTGATGGTTGCTCAGTCAATTCTTTTTCGAAGTGGTCAAAAACGAATACCATTACTGGGGGGCATTCGTAGGTGTGTACCAACGTTGATGGATCTTCGGATGTAATCACAAGGGTCCCTGCTTTGAACCCCCACATGAGAGTCACCGCAACACTGACAAACCACTCTTTTGTCTTGCTGTCCATGTATTGGACAGCAAGATAAGACGGGTGTCGAAATGATACCTTGTCTCTCGTGGTGGTTCATTCACTTGCACCGAGCATAGAGCTTGCAGCACGTGCCCGAGTTGGGGGATGTCGGCCTCAGTGTCGTCCGCGGTGACGATACAGCGTGTGCTTCGGGCACGTTTCGTTGTGACAGGGAGATCTATACTATTGAGAAGTTGTAAAAAAGAAGGAAGGGTATGGAAGACTTACTGTTCGCCCTTTTGGTGTTGCGAATGTGTAGGCTGCATACTTGGTTGTTTAAGTGTTTGAATACTTCTGGGGCGAGTGCACGTGGTTCTTGTGGCTCAGTCCCTCCGTCGATCTTGCCTTGGTCGACTAGTCCTTGAAGTACTTTCTGTGCTTCAATGTCTCCTGTCCAGCGCGATACGCGCATGAAGTCGAAATTCAAATATTTCCGGGCTTGTATCCGGATAAATAGGATCTTCTCCCCATTTCATTTAATTGATGATTTTGAATAGTTTAAACATTGATATGTTAGATTGTATTTTTTTAACATTCAATTGTCATTAAAACTTTGCAATGCAATTATAACATAGAAAGTTGGTCAACTTTAATCTATACTTGAGTTTTGACCAAGTAGCACCGTTAAACTTGTTGTACTGGTGCCGAACCTGTGCCGATGAATTTAGGATTTTGTGGGCTTGATCGATAGCATTGCTACTACGTAATGACATGTCATTGTCGATATATAAGCTGTTATTGGTTGAGTTATTCTCTTACAAAGTAGGTTACAATTCCAAAAACTGGCATGTTTGAAGCCTTGCGACGTATGTCACAAGCTCCCAAATACCTCACAATATATCAAGTTTAGTAGCCCGCACTAGTGTCTACATTATTCATATCAATTGTAGTACGAGCAAGCAAGCCGTTGCAGCGTTATTCGACGCTAAAAACATGTACTTTCTGGGAAAGCTAACAAAGTTAGCTATAAATTATGACCAACTTCAAGTTATCATCATATGCCCGGTATGTTCGTTCGATATGAGCCAGTGCGGCTATTGTTGCAACGTCGATTGCTTAGTCTTACCACTGAACTACTTTGCAAGGACATGTCAATACAGAGATTTTGTAAGTGTCCGTTCGTGGTGCGTACTGCTCCACACCATATTTTGTGTGTTAGAGGCAGCCAGAACTGACATCCATAATATATTTTCTTGCACAAATCGATTGGCAGTTGGTGTTGTGGTGGGCGACTCGTCCAAGTCCCGCCATGGCACAGGTGTCCTCAACAGAGGTCACAGGGTGCCGATCCATGGCGAACGGACGCGGAAAGGCGTAGTATTACTAGTAGTTTACTAGTAGTACTAGGACGTAGAAAACAGAATACCTGTCCCAGCCAACTGGCGGAATAATCTCACTCTTGGTTCTGCAGCGCCGTGGTAACATCAAGTCAATTAAGTGTGTGGTTTCCAGGGAGTCAGCACTTCCCCATTTGGTTGTTTGTGTTGGCATTGTCGTGGGAAACAACGCAAAGTATACTTTAGTTCCAGTGACCTACGGGCCTGAGTGCGATGGCGAAGAACTCTAAAAATTACACCCAGAAGCCGAAGGGCGCCACTAAGGCGCCAGCAGCGGCGGGCAGCGAGGCTGAGGAAGAAGTACCAGTGACGAAGCTACCGCTGGTCTAGGTAGGCGGAGTGACCACGGATGCGCTGTCTGCTGTGGAAGAGTCCAAAAGTGAAGAAGTCAGGAAGACAATCGAAGAGCTGACCAAGGCGTACAAGGCCACGGGTAGCGCGCGAGCGGCATCCATGAGATGTGACGAATCGCAGCGAGGATATGGCGGTCAAACCATGGGACCGAACTGGGAACAGTTACCACGACCCCCGATCGGAGGCGCCTATATTGACGAATAATATCCGCCGCCAGAGAATACCCACCGCCAAAGAACTCAGTCCGATGCCGAGAAGCGAGCGGACGAAGAGGCAGAAGTCCGAGCCAAGCTACGTGCTGAACGACGACATCGACCGGACAGTACCCTGACAGTGAAGAAGAAGAAAAGGAATATCAAGAAGAACAATGAAACAAGCTGAGCGGTGACGGATCTACAAGGCCAATCGTCCTCCAAAGGAAAAGCGTGTCAACCACGCCAAATTGGGGCGCGCGGCTCATGATCGTCGGATGTTGGACACGACCTTACCAAGCAGCTCAGGATGGGGACCTCTTTCGAGCGGACCACCGACGCCAAGCAGCGGAGGATGAGGGCCCAGTATCAACCCCAGTGGACCTTCATTAGTGGTGACACATTCCAATCCCTTCGAATCACCTGTATGGACAGAACATTCCTGGTGAGCTGGGTGAAGAAGCGGGAAACGTGTTAGACAAGCTACGGGTGAATGCGCAACGAATGGGCGGCGAGTGGCGACGGAGTGCTGTGCGGTGGATTCCATCCACTGACCGCAGCCTCCTGAAGGCTACATGCACTTATGTGTGGCGAGTGCCTGTGGAACAATTCAGTGAGGACGACTACCGCGATCGCATCATGGAAATCGTCGGGCAACCAGGGCTCAAGACGACACCCACTAAGTCGGACATGCAAACATACTGTCGGGCGCTGAGCGTTGACCCCCATGGAGACGTGGGCAGCCGCCTGGTGTCTTTATGGAGCAGTGGATGATATGATCGATGAGAACGGTTTACGTCAACAACTCAAGAACCTGACCATGCTGAAAACGTTCGTGAAGGTGGTAGCAGCGTGTGTCACACCCAGCTACCTGCGCGACAGGGTGGAAGAACAAATGAAGACCGTGCCGACGAACGATCTAGTGGCCTTTGCGGACATACTACGCGAGCAGTTCGATTGAACGCACGATGCAGACATGGTCAACCAACAAAGGAACAGCTATGGTGCAAAGCGTGGCCGTGAAGAAGACGACCAAGGACGCCGCCTTACTAAGCATGCAAAGAAAGCCAACCAAGCTGTACGAGACCAGCGGGAATTCCGAGGAAATTACCCACGCCCACCGGGTGGATACATCAAGCCGGAACGAAGTGCAGCGGTGTGGTCCCCGTCGACCCAGAAGCCCAAGCGATGAAGCCCTCGATTCGCACCTGGCCGAGCTGACCGCGGCATGCTGTGCTTTGTTTGCCAGCAGCCAGCACACATGGCTCGGGAGTGTCCCAACAAAAAAGACGGGATAGTGGCGATACAATTTTGAAGAAGGGCAAGAACACCTCCTTCAAGCGGTTCAAGGCGAGGGAACGCAAAGCGAAGATGCAAGCGAAGCAAATGAAGAAGCCCCCACCGCCCACCAGGGAAGATGGCGGGCGTTGGATGCGGCTAACAGTGTGTTGGAAGTTCAATACTGCCCGGACACCGGCGCAGACCAGAACATTATGCCACAGGCCATGGTGGACAAACTTCAAGTGTTACAGCCCCACTTCAAGTAGTCAAATTGACAGCACAATTTGCGGGAACAGCATGCAACCAGATGCCGTTCGAGGCAAAATTCCTACGGAGACCTTCTGCTGACAATGCAGACGGCTGCTGGACCAGTCGAGGTACCAGGCAAGCGCCGCTGTTACGTGGTCAACGACGGAGATGAAATTCTCGTCTCATATGACACCCTCAAGACCATTGGTATCGACATCGACCGCCTGCTGGAACTGGTGGCGCGTCTACAAAGAGATGATGACGGCGACAATCTGGACGAAGTTGGTGGCGATTGCATGGAGTTCCGGTCGGCCGCCGGAGCCACGTCCCTGAAGGCGGTGCTACCTGTAGCCAAAATGAAGTCGAGGAAGCCCTACAAGGCATGATCGATGGCGCAGTCGATAACGGATTTCCAATGGAACATGTTAAGTACTTGTGGGATGTGCTCAGCAAACATGACATCTGGCGACTCAAGTTCGACAGACCCACCAGTGAAAGTGAAGCCGCAAAGGGTGACCCCGAAGGATTGGTGTGTTCCTTACCGATGCAAAGGAAGGAAGCACAACCTCCTGGAGCAGAGGTTCCTCAAGTTGTTTGCACAAGAACTACTCGATGCAGGCGTGATCAAGAGCAACCAGCAGAGTGCGTGGTGTAGCCCGGTGAACCCAGTCCTCAAGCCAGATGGGCGCAAGTCTTTGAAGTCGGCCGACAAATGGAGCGACGATGACGTGCTCAAGAATTATCGGCTAATCAACGACTACCGCGTCGTGAACTAACAGAGCCAAAGGGGGGAACAATGTCATTCCAAGCTACCATCTTCCAAAACCTGCGGGGCAAGAAAGGGATGGGTGTGTTTGACTTGCCCAAGTGCTTTTTGTAGTTCCCGCTGCACCCAGACAGTTGGGACATGTTGTCGTTCATTCTGAATGGATGCATGTACACCCCGGACTGGGTGATGCAAGGCCATGTGGACAGTTTCTACGTGCAATCAATGAACGAGGAGTGCTACAAGGACCTGCTCAACAAGAACATACTGATTTGGATCGACGACCTATTTGTGTACGCCGACACAGCGGAATAGTATCTGGATGCCCTCGAGTCGTTCTTCGATCGAGTGGCCCAGTATGGGTTCAAGCTGACTCCGGCCAAAACTAAGCTGTTCACGGACCAAGACAAGTGGTGTGAACGCATGTGATGGCGTCAAGCAAGACTCTGAACGCATCGAACATTTGTGTGCGATCCCCTACCCTACGAATGCGGATGAAGCAGTTTGTGTGCGCCGTGAACTCGCGGGACTCGATGACAGAGTACGTACAGACAGTCGACCCACGGCAGCAATCTCTGACGAAGGCCCTCGAAGGCAAGGGTAAGAAGAAGCGGATCGCGTCTGGTGTTCAATTGGAACTGACCGACGGCGAGAAGCAAGCATTTGACGCCGTAAAATCCAAGCTACGATCATCGGTGGAACTGTCTCAACCGCGTGATGACGCCACGATGTGTCTGTTCACGGATGCGAGCGATTATGGATGGTCGATTGTGGTAACTCAAGTGGTGGCATTCGATGATGACAGCTCATCCAAGAACAACGTCACGAACTGCTCTTATGTCAGTCGGGGATGTTTGCAGGCGCCCAGAAGGCGTGGTCAGTCATAGAGGCCTACGCTATTGCGCGTGCGTGCGTGCGAGAAGCTCAATTGCATACTTATGCGACATACTGGATTCAAGGTGCGCTGTGACCACAAGAACAGAACCTCATCCATATCTTTGCCCCGGGCGAAGAATGGAAGGCGCACACACGTGGCAAACTCATGCGAAGGGCTGCCATTATTGGCGGCTATCGTTATGAAATCATACACATCGACGGTATCCACAACCTATGGGCAGACAGGATGATCCGTTGGGGTCAGCCGACACCAAGTCTGGCAACCAAGCATTTCAAAATACGTCGGGGTCATGGCTGGTCAAAGAAAAGCAAAACCCGCAAAGTCCTCCACCGGAACAACCAAAACTGCGGCCGCTGGACAAGGACTTTGTGTGACCATGTGTGGCGGACATCCGTCATGCCGAAGACCAGCATGGCACGGACAAACCAAAGCGAGCCACAGTGGTGGACGGGCTGCGGCAAGTGCGCGAACGGGTACCGAGTGCGGCAAATGATCTGATCCAACGGATCATGGTCGTTGCCCACTGTGGCAGCGCCGGGCATCGTGGACATGCAGCGTTGCGGCTACAATATTCGGTGATTCATGCGCTGCGGGAGGTCCACACGTCAAGAGTCAAGCTCTACGCCGAAGAAAGATTTGAATTCACCGAACAGATCCTCGAACACTTTTCCAAGCAAGGGATCATGCTGAAGGTCAAGTCGATCGCGGGACACAAGTTTGTCCCGGATGTGAAAGACTTCATGCTGGAGGTGCTTTGGGATGGTTTTGAGGATATCGAGTCCTCATGGGAACCGCTGCAGAAGCTCATGCATGAATGCCCAGCCGTAGTGAAGAACTACGTTGACGGCGTGAAGAAAGCGAACGAAGGCGATGAAGCAAACGACCCCGAAGAACTAGAAAGTGTCCTTCGGGACATGGCTTGGGGTGTGTGTTGTGGTGGGCAACTTCATCCAAGTCCCACCATGACACAGGTGGTCCTCAATCAAGTACTATGACGTAGAAAACAGAACCCCTGTCCCAGCCAACTGCCGGAATCTCACTCTTGGTTCTGCAAGGCCGTGGTAAAATAAAGTCAATCAAGTGAGTAATTTTCAAGGAGTCAGCTCTCCCCCATTTGATAGTTTCTGTTGGCACTGGCGTGGGAAACAACACAGTTGGTCACAGTACTACGTAGTACTAGTACATCGGAATATGAAATGGTATGCATGCTTGTATCGGAACTGCCCTTGCTATATCCTTTCGGGAAACCAGTCCACACTTATTACAACAAAGTGCGGGAATTCACAAAGGTAAGGAGGCATAGGCTACGTCTGTCCGAAAATGTTTGCACGTTTCGGAAAAAGTGAAGTTCGGGAAAGATTGCACGATTCGTAGTACTCTTGTTTGAATGGGACCACATATAAAAAAGTCACTCAGCTCAATACAAAAATACATATATTATTTATTCAATGTCTAAGCCCAAGATTTCCAATACGTCCTCGTCCAAACTCATCATCGACACCGAGTCGCTCAATTTGAGAGCAAAACTTTCCCATGTCCAGTGCCGCAGATATTTCTGCAGCTAATTCCTCGACTTTCTCTTCCATGTCGGTAGTCGCTGCTTGTGGAAGATTGCCCGACGTTGTATTGCCTGACCGCGACGTAGTCGATGCCGTACCTTGTGCATGTGGTTTCATCCGTAAAAAGTCGTAACCGGATGTCCGGATACGCTGAAATGACAAGTGTCGTCGATGTTGTATGAAATAAAGCATTGGGATTTGTTTCCGTCATGGCTCTTTCATTGGTTGGAATTTTGGTGCGAATACTTTTGATTGGTGACGCCCTGAATCTCCTCTTTTCCCCAGAACCTTCTGTTCTCCAAGAGTCGAAGAACTTCATGTTCATTTGTCGAAATCTTTGATTCGTGCAAACATTTTCGGACAGAGGTAGTAGTATTAATGTTAACGGGACAGTAAGCTTAAAGGTAAGAGCATCCCCACCGGCTGATGTAGAAATGTAAAAATCTTCAAAGTACATCACTACATCTGCAAAATTTACATTTTTCAGCCCCACACCGGTTGCCAATAAATTTTACATCATGATGTAAACGCTCCATAAACACAGATTTCTCAACAGATCTGTTGGGTCATTTACAGTTCTATGCGATTGAGGTCCCG